ACAAAATTTTCAAATTTCATAATTCATAAAAACATCAAGATGTACCTCAAATCATAAACATTCATCCCAGAACAAATAGTACAAAAAAAACATCCCCCCCCCCCAGAATCTTATCAAAAATACTCCAACAACGTGTACAATCAAGCTGGCGCCTTCCCGCGATCCTCGCTGGTACCTGAAACACATTTCACACAACACGGTAAGCATAAATGCTCAGTGAGTTCCCCAAAATACCACATACAACACATACGCTACTCAAGGCTAAAGTATGACCCTCTGGTTGATGTGTCTCAGCAGAACCCTCCAGTTCCGTATCGTTGGGTCCTCCGAACCGGTCTGTCTCGTTGGACCCTCCGGCCCGGTCTATATCATTGGACCCTCCGGTCCGGTCTATATCACATAGCATACATATATCACAAACACATATACACAAATAGCACATAACACATAACATATAAGACCCTCCGGTCTGCTCAAGGTTTCCACACTAAGTAATGTATAGTGAGAAAACTCACCTCGGAAATGTCTCAGAAAGTCACAACTCGATATCTCTAAACCTCGAAACAACGACCTAATCACATAAGGTAATTATTTAAGTTATTAACGGCTCTCAAGGCTAGACTACACCTCTTCCTAAAATCCACAGAAGGGTAAAAGACTATTTTACCCCTTTCTGATCCAAAAGTACAATTGTTGACCAAACCCTAAAAGTCAACGAAAGTCAACGGTCAACTTTGACCCAACTCGTCGAGTGCACAATGGCGACTCGGCGAGTCTACATGTGTCCATTAATTATATAGTCATGTTTGGTGTGTCGAGTCTCTCTCTTTACTCGACGAGTCCCCAGGCATGAATCACGGGGCCACCCCGACTCAACTCGCCGAGTCTCAAGAACAACTCGGCGAGTACATGCCATGCACAAACTCCATTGACCTCCTTAGTTCAGATCTGTTCCTCTAATCCATAGATCTGGCCTTCTCAAGCATATTAATCACGTAAAGTCTAGACCTTGACACTCATATCTCATCTAGATGGTGTCATTTGGTGATTTAAGGTCTCTGGACCTTTTTGAGTCCAGATCCAAAGCATAAACTTGAGAAGGGACCAATTGCTCAACATAACCATCCTCAAAAGGGCTAGAAAACCCTAACTTTAAGAATCAATCACCAAAACTGAAGAAGGTTCGATTTATTACCTCAAAATGAAGTTTCTGAACTCTGAAATCACTAGAATCGCACCTCCTCCAGCCTCTTCTTGCTCTTGATCACCTTCTTCTTGCTAAACCAAAGATATAAAGATCAAATATGGCTTTTCCTTCCTCACAATCGATTTAGCTCACTTAGGGTTCTCTCAAGGGACTGGTAGCCGCAATGGGAGGCTATAAGTGCCCTTAAATAGGTTCCAAACCCGGGGATTAGGGTTTCAGTAAACAGCGTGGACTTGCCGTGTCCACTAATAGACTCGCCGAGTCCAGTCGCGAACCTGGATGATAATCCTCGACCCTACTCGGCGAGTCTAGGCACCAACTCGCCGAGTTCCTCCACAAATTCCAAAAATAAAATAATAGAATAATATACTTGGGAATCCAGATGTTACATACTGAGCAATGGACTGTACGCACAACGTACTACATAGTACGCCCAGCGTACAAGCAGCTCATGCACAACATCCATTAATTGCTTAATACTTGATCGTAACAAGTCCAAATTATAGATCTGAGCTATACATAACATCTAAACCCATAAAGTCACTGACTTGGTGACTTTGCATGCCCCAAACGAACCCAAACTCCAAAAATGGGATTCTACTTCCATAAAAGTGACCCTAACTCGAGCATGAATCCATTAAGACCATCAAGATGGAAACTTTCTGCCTTAGGGACTCAAATAGCATCAAGGGTGGCAACCCCAAGCCTAAAACGGATTTGGAACCATAAAACTCCGTTCTTGGGACCAAAAGATCCAAAAACTCAACATTGTAGATCTAAGTATTTGATGGTCAAGTTCAAAGCTTTATACCTTCATTAAGCTGAGAATGAGTCCTAAAAGCCAGATCCAAAAGCTCCTCCTTGATTCCCATCCTTGCATCAAACTCCAACTTCTTGAAAATGGGTTAAACACCCCAAAAATGGACTCCATAAGCTCAAAATGCCACCATGGATGCTATATGACAATTTCTAGTGTTTACAGGGGTGGAGGCTAAAGATGTTAGGGTTTGGTTATGAAATAAGGGGTTTAAATAGGGTCCAAGACCTTAAAATAGGGTTCTGATCTGAAGGAATTACGCCCAGTGTACTCCAAAGAACCTTTGCGACCAATCCTGGTCATTACGCCCAGCGTACTCGGCTAAGCCTGCAACTACTAAACTTCCGAAAGCCATAACTTCTTCGTTATAAATCCGTTTTCAACGATCCTTATATCCATGGAAAGGTGACGAGAAGCTCTACACTTCTAACAAATCAAACTTCCTTAAGACCTTCCGAACAAAAATCCATTATCCATAAAATCCTGAACCGACACTTTACCAAATTAGCCCTAGGCTCCAAAACACAACCCGAACACCCAAAACACATCTAATACACCACCCGCACCCAAATGGGCCTAGATCTTACCTTCTCTAGAGCCATACTCCTTATGAAAACCAACCTTCGGCCCATAGCCTTAGACTAGAAGTCAATTCGGAATAGAGCGTTATGTCCTTTGTCCAAAGGTCAGCTGTGATTCCATTTGAGGCGTTCATACTATTGGTGCTAAGTTCTTAAAGGCCAAAACTACAAGCTACTACAAAGAGGTATGTCATCTAGCTCATTTCTATGTTGATTATGTCAAATGCATGCTAGTTGTAGGTTTAATGTCTTGGAAACAATATTGCATGTATAATTAGTGAAAAACATAGATCCAAGGCATGTAGGGTTGTATGTACAGTATAGGATGTTGTAGTATACCAGAACCCACCATTAACCACTCTTAGGGACTCCAGATCTGAAAGGATCTTTGCTTGGGGATGTCCTTGTCCCATAGATCAAGCTCCAAGAACCAAAACTCTCATAAAATGATCATAATGAGATCTAAAAAACTATAAGTCAAGATGAAGACTTTATTACCAGAAAATGATGGAAATGAGATGGTGTTCTTGGATCTACAAACTTCTCCTTGAACCTTTAATATCCTTTTTCTTCTTTTAGCCTCCAAGAACACACCAAAACACTTAAAGAATGGTTCACACACTCACAAAATGATCTAAGGTTTCTTGGGTTAAGTTCTGGACAATGGGGGGCTAGGAATGGAGCCAAGAGGAGGAGAATAAGATGCTTAAATGGGGTACCAAGTCTCGAATCCAGGGTTTCCCTAACCCTTACCAACTCGTTGAGTCGGTCCCCCGACTTGTCGAGTAGGGCACTTAACTCGCGACCCATAATACGTTCCTACTCATTGAGTCATTCCACCTACTCGACAAGTTGCCTTCTGATTTTGAGGTTTTCCTTTCCTTTCTAGGTCTTCCGAATTCGTGGTGTTACAAACGGAGCCTCTCGGTGGTCGGAATCGGAATGGCGCACACAGGGAATTGCAGACGTGAGCTTTCTGTGAGAGAAAAAGGCAAACGATAGAGGAAAGGACGAAGACCGGGGGGGGGGGGGGGGGGGGGGAGGAGGAGGGTTATCTGGTGTAACTCAATAGCGGCGGCGGGCAATATCGGTGACGCACGCTTACTAGCGGCGACAAAGGGGCATTAGCAGCGACACCCCTGGAGGGAAAAGTCAACGCCTTTTTTACGAATTTACAACCGTAGGATGGAATACAAATCGAACGGACAAGGTTTATTTGGCACAGATCGCCACTGTGTCAGCAATAGCGGCGACATGTAACAGTCAATTACATGTCGCCACTATTGCTTTGCGTCGCCGCTATTGCCAACATTTCTTGTAGTGTCGGTTTGTTGGGAAAGCACATATAATTTTAGGAAGGCATCGTATTTCACCCCCTTCGTTCAGAGTAGTTTAGTTAGTTGTCAATAGATTGCAATTCGACCCTCATTTCCGATCTAGTAAATGAGTTTTTGAAGAGTAGAGAAACCGAACTTCTTTTGAATCAAATCAAAGCATATAAAAAGTGCTCTGAAGAACACCTTTTGGATTTTTAAAATTTGAAAGGTAACTAGTACTCTTTGAGGAGAAAATCTTGGGGATTGTTGTTTAACGAAATTGGGAGGGGGTCCTTCTTAGTAACAGTTTAATTAAGATTAGGAATCGACGAAGATATTCTGAATCTTGTTGTTTGAGGGAGTTGTGCAAGAGAGAGAGAGTTGATTCCCTAATCGAAAGTAGATGCAGTTAGCAAGGAGTTTCGTGGGGTACACAATCGAAAAAAAATGCATTGGATGTATGCTCTGGCATTGAAAAGGAAGGACCATTTTAGAGGCGAAAGGCCAAAGAATCCATGGTTTCCCGATGGAACCCTATTTCGCCCAAGTAGTTTTGGAGCCGAAAAAAACGGTTAAGATGTGGAAGGAAATTAGAGAATGTGTGGTTTGTTTTAAAGGTACAATATGTATTTATATTGGTAAAAGTTTTTTTTACTAAAAAAAAAAGTTTGACTAATCAATGCTCAAGAGAACGCATGTGTTTTCTAACCCGACATACAACCGTCCAAATGTCTCTACGTTTTCTTAGAAACGACTTCTAGGTGCAATTGGGGTACCGCCGGCCTCCTCCTCCAGCCCGACTCTGTCCACCCTTATAAGCGGCAAAGATATCACATTTTTATTTTTTATTACTTTATTATATAAATAAAAAAAAATAAATATGATACGTAAATTGATTAAAAAAAAAGTATAATATTTTATTGTTATTTCCTGCAATTTTTCAATAAGTATGTATTATTACAATATTTCCATACACATAATATTTTGTTATTTCTAGCGATTTTCCATTCGGTATATTAATAATATATTTTCATATGAAAATTCAACAAAGGAAGCAACATATTACCTAACATTTTCTCTTAGGTACAATGTGGATTATTTCCAGGCCCTCCAAAAAATATATAATAACCCCAAACACTATTAAACCCATTTTTAACATCATAACAATTTGGTTTTTCTGTTAACAAAGTCACATCTCCAACTGGTTGTAACACATTGTGTTCATCAACAATTTCCATGTTCCTAACAAATGAAGCTTTTCCAAACCCTTCGGTTGCAAAGTGGCCACTCCCCATTATGGTTGATGTGGGTTGTTGACCATGGCTTTGAGCATTAAACACCTCTCCACCATATTCAATCGCTGTTGCATGTTTACTAAAGTCAGGGAATAAAGCTACAGGCCAATATCCAACTATAATCGTTCCCACCCTCAACCACCAGTTTCCATGTCTTGGATCCTGTAAAAATCCATATAAAATAGTTTAAAAAATAGTCTTATTCCATTAAAAAAATAAAAAAATAAATAAATAATATGTTGCACTCGCAAAGTCATGCAAGTAGGTTGCATACAACAATTTTAGTAGAACATCATTGAAAAAAATTGGTGAGGTTTCTTTTATGATTATTTCCTCGCAATCTTGATAGATTAAAGATTTACCTTCCAGATTAGTACGTCGAAATCGTACTGTGTACCGTTATACGTTGATAATGCATCAAAAGTAGCTCCAAGACAAATCTCATGAGTTGTTTGTACAAACCCCGAACACAACAAATTGTAGCATCCAGATCGATACCCATCATTCTGTAATATTAATTTTTGAGCTCAAACAATCATCATTAATATCTTAAGAGCATACCCAATTAAGATTACTATCAATGTCAAAGGTATTTAACATAAAATAATATATAGTAGTACATTATAAGTACCCCAAAATTATCTGCCACCACCCTTATTAAGATTAAATGGAAAAAATTGTTGTCTTCCTTTTTTTAGACAATCCTTAAATGAAAACTTTTGCGTTGACAAAGAATATGTTAACGACATTCATAATATATTAAACTTATTAAAATTAAATAAAATTAAATGAAACATCATTATAACCAAGCAGCCATAGGCCAAGTGGTATGGTGAGATGTCCTCCCTCCATAAAATTGAGGGTTTAAATCACGACATGAGACATATGTGATTTTATGGGTAGATTAGTGTGTGGTTTTTCTTAAAAAAAACATATTTATAGAATATAACTTACGACATTCATTTTTTTGAAGCAGCAAACGATTCAGCGGAAACCTTACCATAGTATATTTTTTTATGACATGATTTTTTTTCTTATTGAATGGTTCAATGGTTATTGAACTCCAGATAAATTGAATGTAAACATAACATCTGATAATGATAGAGTTCAATCCATTGATATCAATTAGACATATTATTTCATTCAACAATTTCACTGAAATTTTCATTGTGAATACTCTCATAAGTAAACATGATACTTAGTAACTTACGGTCCAATAAAGAAAAAATCTTGGCAATTTATTTCCGTACATGGCTGGAGCAACCTGCCATTGCAAATAAGAGTAAACTATTAACAATTGTATCCCCCCCCCCCCCCCCCCCCCCACCACACACACACACACACATTATATATATATATATATATTATATATATATATATATATATAATATATATATATATATATATATATATATTATATATATAATATATATATAATAATAAAATAGACGAATGTACCTGCCATCCAGCTTCCAAAGTGCTTAACCCATGAGTTGGAACATCCGCAATAACCCAAATTTGTGAAAGGCTAAAATCAAAAGGCCTTGTAACATTTGGAGCCCATACATTTAAAGTTGCCTTTGCTCCATAAAATTCTCCATCGGTTACATACCCAATTGCATGCTGCAACCACATAGTAACAATAAATATATAGTTTAAATAGACATTCTATTAGACATTATAACTATTACATGATTGCTATATATAATATTACTTTTGATTTATAGTTTTAATAAATATTTAATTTTGATGATAAAATTTGGAATTAAATATCCCAAATACTTACCAGTT